GTGTTTGATAATCTTATTGTGATGCCGATCCTCGCACAAGACTGACGGCAGATCCTATCCATTACCACTGCTTATATACGGGGGAAGACGAAACGCATTTTATCTCAAATTGTACATGTACTCTCTATATAGCAATGAACCAAGGCAATGAACGAAATGAACTCTTTGACGCAACCACCAAATTCCACCATAACTTTCACACATATACAAATGAAAATAAAACTACTCTCTTCTTAACATCCGAAAACCCACAAATGCTGGAAAAAGTGGGGTCTTTTGTCTTCCTCTGTCTTACAAAAAGTCAAACCCAGTAGCCGCCTATGGCAAAATACGTAACTTTACATAGGCCAAAACCCAATAATTTGAATGACAGCCATCTAGTCTATCCAATCAATTTTGAGCACAATGGCCCTACATTACGTCAAAAAATTCCCAACCAGATCTAACCCAACAATCTCTTTTTATTTATTTATAAACTGCACTTGGCCACTCTCCGCCAGAGGTCCTCCAGCGCTGCTACCTCCTGACCGCATTACCCATCACAACAGCGTGTAAACATCCGACCTGTCGCGCGGATGTCAACACTTATCCACTAATTTTAGCACATACAAACAACCTCTCATATCACAAGCGGTTTACGCCAACTGACTTAGCTAAAATGCAATTTCTGGCGGATATAAACACACATCCATACACGCATTTAATTTTTAGTACGATCTACTTTAGAGCCTGTTCTTGTACCAAATGTTTCTTCTGTACTTGCAATTGGCCCTCGGGCATGAATTTGCAATGAACGAATTAATTATATTTCCCCTGCAGGTGAAGCTATGGGAAAGTTCATGAGAACCCTGCTGGTGTTGGTGGTCGCCATGGCCGTCATGGCGGACGGAGCCGGGCGCAACATCCATCGCGAGCGGAGGGGCGGCGGTTTCGGCGTGGTGGATGTGGCTGAGAACTTTGAGCGAGGGCCAAAGCCGCGACGCCGCAGAGCATCGAGGCAGGGGCGGGGCCGGTAAGAGACGCGGAATGCGTGGTATCACTGCCAGTGCCAGTGGTGGTGTGTATTAAACATTTCCATATATTTGCACACAAATGTCTTTCTCCTCGATTCCTCCCTTCAGTAAGATTAAACCTTCTTGCTCCCCTATCTCTCTGTTTATCTCAATCTGTCTCTATCTCGTTGTCTCCGTAGTTTTGTTTCTCTCTCTCTCTCTCTCTCTCTCTCTCTCTCTCTCTCTATCTATCTCTCCCTCTCTCTCTCCCTCTCTATTGAATGTTTCAAAATGTTTGAATCATGCCTGGTAGTTGACTGGTGTTCGAAAGTAGATCTGGGCGCGGTTGGCCTTGACATTTCAATCAAATTTAAGTCAGATTCGACTAGATTCGTATATAGATTCGTCTAAAAACGTAGGCGTGGCCTAAATTTGGCAAGACTGTTCCCGAAATCCCAAACAAAGATTAGCTGATTGTCGGGGGAAGTTGTAAATGTGTGACAGGGGCTTTTTTTTATCTCTGCAGAATCAGATTCTGGTTCTAATTCAAGCTAGTCACCTGAGGAGGGTATAGAAAGTAGTACAGTGAATATTCTTGAAGGCTGGGTAGAAAGCCTGCTGATAAGAGCGTCAGTCAGACGTAAACTGTGTTGTGTTGTGTAGGAATGTATCGGGTTTGAGACTGTATGATTTGATTTGTGAAGGTTTTGCAGTTCGTGTATAAATGCGCCGTATTACGCAACTGGCTTTCCGGGTGAGTCGGCTGCAGTTCAGGTCACGTCCGTAGAGGGCGATTTCAAAGTGTACGTTACGAGCAGATACGCCGACAGGATTTTTTGGTTTCTAGATATTTTGTAGTTTGTGCCTTCTTCTCAAACATATTCCAATTTGTGAAGTGCATCCTACTATAATTTTTACCGCGTCGAAGTGAGTCATCTTGGGGTCCTTAACTATAGAAATCCCCATAGGGCGAAAACTGTGTTCTGCTACCATAAGGGGAGGGGGGACCAGCAAATCGTCTTGCGATTTATTTTGGTACTTTTTTTTTTAGATAATTTTTTTCCTGGGCAAATTTTGCTCAGAAAGGCCCAGTTTTCTGGTAAGAAGGACTGAAGAATGTACATTTTTAAAATATGGCCAAAAAGTGTGACATTTTTAATGATTTGACCTGTTATTGACCTCTAAATACTTGTGATCTGTGTGGACTGCCCCACTTTGCCACTCACGGGGGGTGAAATCCTGGTATCATTTCAATATTTTAGCTGTAGCTCATTAACAAGCAGGAGTCGAACTTCCACTATTTGTACCTGACAAATCTAGCTTTCCAGTGGGGGTAAAGACTTGAGGTTTGAGATAAGGTAAATGTGTTTTAAAGTGCTTGTTTCTAGTGGTTTTAGCTTAGATTTCAATGGGATGTCTGGTCCATGCCAGTATCCAGTAGCTGATGGCCTGGGGCCCTTTGTTTATTTGAGGATTACAGGCAAAACAGTTTGTAATAGCCTATCGTACAGATGGTAAAAGGAATCATTGTTGGCCTCCTGTTAAAGGAAGCCACTAATACTTAAGTTTTAAGCTATAAATATCTGTTCATGATTGCCTTCGCCAAGAATTGACAAAGGTTACGGGTATGTTTTCCTGGCCGTGTGTCTGTCTGTCTGTCTGTCTGTCTGTCTGTCTGTCTGTGTGTCCGTCTGTCAACAGCATAGATGGATTATCTTGATATTTGGTAGGTGGGTAGGTCTTGATGAGACCTGGAAATGATTAGATTTTGGACCCCCTAGTGGCTTGTTATAGTACTGCAGCTGAACTTCCGGTTTTGATTCTCATGATCTACACATGCTGGGTTTACGAAATTTGGATGGTAGGTAGCTCTTTTGCTGGGGAAGAAGTGGCGTGAGCTTGGGCCCCCTAGCGGCTTGCTCAGGAACTGCAGGGCTAAAAATATTCTAAAGAGGATAACTCAAGAACCGGTGGACGGATCGTAGTGATTTTTGGTATGTAGGTAGCTTACGTAATGCTTGGCATAATTATGCGGCAATGCGGCAATTATGCAAATCTGGATGTAATTTGCATAATTTTTAATTAATGGAGAAATTCTATAAATCAGCTGCATTACATTATAGGACTATTCAAACTTGTGACACGTAATTGAGAACGAGAGAAACACAGGCAGATATTGATTATGTAAATTAACACTTAATTTGCATAATTAATGAGAAATGTAATAATTCCATAATGCTAACTGCCTGGAATGTCATACTTTGGGTTGCTGGTGTCTTTTCCAAATTCAAAATGACCAGTGTTACTACAGTAACGTACGGACCTCCCACGACGCCCATTTCCGAACTTGATCTTGCTATCGTCAACGGTAACTTGCTCACAAAAAATCGTGAACATCCATTTGCAGATTCTCGAATTATCCCGCTAACAACAATAACGACCAAGACAAAAGGTCAAATTCAATGACATGGGAACCCCCCACGAGGCCCATATCCGAATTTGACCTCCGTATTCTCAACAGCGACTTGCCCACTAAAAATCATAGACAACCATTTAAGGATTCCCGAGTTATCTGGAGTACAACAAATTAAAAAACGCAAACACAAAAGGTCAGCTCCAGTCAGGGATATTACAAGAGAGACTTTGACATCGATGAGAATAAAAAGCACGACTTTGTATAGACTTTATGAGGAATGTCAAATATCGTGTTGTTGTGTTTTGTTGGACACAAATTAGCTGCTGTAACCATAGATACACGCGTAAACTTTCTGTTAGAGGTCAACGTCCTATGCTTGAAAGTGTTTCTCTGCCTGTCTTGTTTTGTTTTGTATCTACTATTTACTGTCACATAGTAAATATTCTAAGTCTCATTCTGAGACTTCAGGAGAATAAGTGACGCTCTAGGTTTACCTCATATTCTCGCATGTACTATAGGATCTTTTGTGAAAGAAAAATGTAAAAGAACTAGAGAGGCCGACATTTGCTTGGAAGCAAATACGGCATATTTCAGTCCATCTCCCTCCCACGCAAAAGTGGACTACCCCAGTGTAAAACTGGCAAAGATTATCAAATTATAAATGAATTACACAGTAGCTATGTAATTGAGAACAAAGATGCAAGAACAAGCACATTGAATCTCGAAAGCTTTACTAATCTTATTACAGGTATGCAAATACTAACAATGATGAGATTTGATACATTTTGAAAATCTTAGGCACATAAAATTGAATATGTGGGTCATTACGCACGACTTACGTGCAATGTGACCTCAGGTAACCCGCAATGGAACACGTGTTCCATGGCCAACGGCAGATGGAACAAGCCATTCTTTAGATAGAACATGGAACAGGTATGGCACTTTTGGCCCTTTTTTTGCTGAAAATAGCCATTAAAATCCCCCAAATGAGTGGAAGTGGTGTATGCCAAATATGTGACTGCTATTCTGTAGACACATGTTCAAGCTATCCTTATACCGAATTTCAGATCATTTGGTTGTAAAACCAGGGCTCAGGATCCAAAAATCCATTTTTTTGGCAAAAAATGACCCAAAAAACCTTTATAAACCTTTTTTAAAGGCATGTATCAAAAAATGAAAAAAAACACCTGGGGGTATTGGCCCACTCTACCTCCATGCCAAATTTCAAGTCATTTGGCTGAATGATGGCTGAGTTGAATCCCTTTGACTGTTTGGCAGGAGAAGGAGAAACATGAGGGAACACAATATATTTCATCCATACCATGGTATGGACTGAAATATAAATATACACACTATACCCCATTTCTTATTGATTTGTGAGCCTTTGCATTCGGTCAAAGCATTTTTCCCAGCGACGTTTTCTTCTAGGAACTTTTGTACAACGGTTGGGTAAAGCCTGTAAACATGCCATATCAACTTACAGGAAGTAGAAACACTGAACCAATGAGAAACAAGCATGATAACGTAAGAAGTCCTAAAATAAACTTGGTAAGTGCTTAGCATAAAAGTTTCATAATTGGTTTATACTGTTTTTCTCGAAAGTTTAGTTCCTTGTGCGTCTACAACTGCGAGCATTCGGAACTCAGAGCGACTTGGTAAACGTTCAACGGTCGTAGACAAAGCCTAAAAAGTGCGACAACATGACTGCGGAGAAGCAGAGTCCGTTCCTGTCCGGTGGACCGACCCGCCGGGACCGTCTCCCCGTGTTGGTCGGGCCGCTGGTCGGCGTCCTGGCCGCCCTGGTGTGCGGGATCAGCGTGCTGACGGGGGTGGTGGTGGTGCACAACATGCAGCAGGAGCTCACCGCTGCTAAAGAACGTCTGGCTGTTCTGGAGAACCTCCATGGCTTTGCCGGCGGGGAGGTGGCCGATGATCTGTCTCAGGCGAGTACGCTTTAAGCTTCGGTCCCAATTGCGCCGATGCCCGTCGGGGATTTAGCCCCGGCCGGCCCCGGTAGGGCTCAGGAGTCGGGCGGGCATCGGCTGTCGTGGTCACAATTAAAGGTTTCCTTCAGTAGCATTTTGGTAAAAATTTTGTCACCCTCTTTGGTCGGTCTCCGGCAGGCACCCGGCAGGTACCCGACAGATTCTCTGAAGATGTCTTGTACTGACCTATACGTAACGCTTTTGTTGTGATCATTTAATCTGTGATGTCACACATTTTACCCGGGTTTACGAAGTACACACCTTTATTCTGTTCATCTGGTCTGTGAAGTATCAAATGTGTCCGGTGGACTGCCGGCAACCAGATTAGTACCTCTCGGTGTTCTCACGGTGTCACGGCGTCTTTTTGTCAGCGGGGCCCGGGTAGAATTTAAGTCAGAATTAAATTCTTCTCGGGTCCCGGACGGGCCCAAAAATAGCCCGGTAGCCACAGGGTGTCCCGCGGGGCCACGTATGGGTCACGCCCAAAAGTGCCAAAAACAGCCCGGGGACTACCCGGCAAAGCATTACCTGTGTATATCGGCATTTGTAAACTTAACTCTGTGCTCACTGTTGGACCACTCTCACGGCGACGGTATGAGCTGGTTCAAAACAGTCGCCGAGGTGACGGCGCTCATGGCGCTCTCGGCGCGCTCCCATGGCGACCTTGCCGATCTCTCCGCGCTCTCTCCGCGCTCCTGCTAATTTCAGGTCACAGAGAGAAAGCGCGCGCAGTGAGAGCGCGCAGTGAGAGCGCTGTCCTAGTGGAATGGGGGCGTATATACGTAATACACTTTAACCGTGACTGTTATTTTACTTGATCTTGATCTTGATAATGTACTGTGTAACACCCCTCGGTTGGGGTCAAAAACGCAGGGGGGAGTGCGCAGCGCTCTAAATACACCTCAGGTGTAGAAGAACAGCTTCCTTAAACTTGTCGGCCTCTGGTATTTCTGGTAAGGCCTGCGGAAGCTCGGTCCAGTCTCTTACAGTCCTTGGGAAATACGAATACCTATAGAAATCCTTGTGGAATGCTAGTGTCTCGTAGGAACTAGTACTCGGGTTTACGTGCCGCGATTTGCGCGGTGCGGACGAACGCTGAGTTGTTTTGTCTAGCTTTGTGTAAGATAGTTAATCTAGTTTCCTTGTCTAACCCCATTCAATTGTATGTAACTTGCCCGCTCTTTGCATTGTGTAACACACGCGTGCTTTTATTTGTCCCTAGTCTAACACTTAACTATATCGCCTGGCAATTTAATGAGTGACTGTACATTGCTGTCTTTTGCCGTGTTAAACAGAATGACGGTTTGATGACGCCAGACGACGGAGACCATGGTTCCGTGCGAGTGAAGAGAGACGGATCGGTGCTGGGTGGACGTGAGTTTCGGGATATCTTAGCTTTAGTACAAATACTCTGCGCCATCTGCTCATGTGTGTGGTTGGTAAACTCTTAAATAAATTTACAATAATAAAACATAACAACTGGTAAAAATGTTAATTTTCATGTTCATCAAGATATTCTCGGGCTCAACTCACAACCTTGGTTGTACTTGCAGTTTGCCAGCAGGGACCCCCTGGTCCCGCGGGAAGGGACGGGGTAGCCGGGCGGGACGGACGGGACGGAGTCCAAGGCCCGGCCGGACCGACCGGACCGGTCGGCTTACGGGTACGAAACTTATCCTGGTTTCAAGTTGAAGATGTACACCATATTAACGTTAGATGTTACCATATTAACAGGAATATGGTAATAGCAAAAAAAAGTTTTTAAACCTGTAAGATACTGACAAGATTGATCACCATGGCAGGGAATAAACATGTATATCACTCATCATCCTGTTTTGTTATATCCTGACATGGTTTTCCGTGTAGGCATGGCAGGGTCCAGCCGGGGACAGAGGAGACACAGGACCGCCGGGAAGAGACGGGGCGCCAGGCGCAGGTAAAAACTTTTTCATCCTTCTCAATCAAATAAATACGTAGAGTACTTTAACATTTTAATCAACCATTGTTTGATTGTTTCGGATATACGGCAGTTGATTTCTGCCATTCCTCAAGAATGGAAATCTATTTTATGTTAGCCTCTACCAGGCTTGGGGAGGCGACTGGAAAGAGTAGAAATCGGCCAAATAGAGAGATAAGCATGCCAAGGGAGTTTGTCCGTTGAGAGAACAGTTCGCCGCACCAACTGTTCTCTCAACGGACAAACTCCCTTGGCATGCTTATTTCTCTATTTGGCCGATTTCTACTCTTTCCAGTCGCCTCCTCAAACCTGGTATAGGCTATTTTATGTGGTAATGTGCCAGATTTTGTCTGTAAACCAATGCAGCGAAACAGCTCTTGGTTATGATTAGAACAGGTTAAGATTAATAAGGATGTGTACAATTTTTCTTGTTGCATCATAATTTGATTGATATTTCTCACAATATTGTGTACAACTAAAGTGGCTGTGCCTCTTTGACACCCCTATTCCCTGGAAACAGGTTTACACATCTATAATACATTGTACTATATAGATTCTTCCACTAGATTTTTCCAATATAAAATTGTGCATAAATTTCTACCTACAAACAAACTACTATATATTTGCAATTGGAAATGCATACATGTAGACACCCCTTTGTGCTCGTTCTGCCATGAAGAGGAAGAAACATACCTGCATGTCTTCTGAGAATGTCCAAACGTTATCTCTTTTTGGAACCAAATTAAAATTTGGTATCATTGTAAAACAACTAAAGAGTTGTTTTTAAATGGATTCAATGTTATTTTTGGAAATTTACACTTTGGACACCCCGCACCGATTGAAAATCTTATAACCCTAGATGCCAAAATGTATATATTTAGATGTAGAAAAACTAGTTCTTTAAACTTTCTTTGCTATATCAAATTCATTCATAATGTAGAATATTCCACATACAATCAAATGTTTCTATAAATACGTTAATATTTATTTGATCATTATTATTTCTATGTTTGAAATGAGTTGATATTGTTAGGTGTATAATCAAATGTCTCTACAGATAAGTTAATATTAATTTGGTTATTTCTATGTTTGAAATGAGTTGATATCATTATGATTATAATCAAATGTCTCTACAGACAGAAAACTGATTATTATTATTTCTATGTTCTGTATCATTTTCCATTATTATTGTATTATTACATGGATGGTTCAATCTCTGTATCTTTTTATATAAAATGATTTTAAAAAAAATTTAATCAACCGATCTGCCTGGCTACGATCCACGTTGATGTAGATATAGTATTTGATTTTTCCTGTTAGGCCACAGCAAGTAATTTTTATGGATGACATCAGCGCGCGCATTAATTTTCGCATGATTTTGGGGAAAAAAAAGAAATTTTGTTGCCTTCTGACAGTGGTCACCATGCCGAAAATGGGCAAATATGTCTGTTGCCACGACGGAAGGTGAGTGGCAGATAACTATGAAGAGAGGAGACAAGAAAAGGCTCTGATTTAATGTTTTAATTTTGTTTCATAATTTGATGCAGTGATGTGATGTTGGCTGTGTTTATGTGATGATTCAACTGAATCAAAAGCATTTCTACAATGATTAAGTCAAAATGTTAAAATGTTGGAACCTTGTTTTTTTCGGCCCGCCTTGTTTTTATTCGCCCGCTCGCATTAGATTTGGAGTCTGCGGAGGATGTCATCCATAAAATTGACTTGCTCTGGCCTTATGTACGTCTTCTTTTTGATCAGGAGGAAGTGTGTACGATCCGGATGGGGGAGGAAGACTTGCGCTGATAACGGCGGAGCAGAGCTGGTGTACTCGGGTAAGATGTCTTTGTTGAAGACAGACGACTTGCGTGGTGCTACATTTTCTTGGCTTTCTTGTGGTGCCAGTGCGTTATTCCATAACAAATTTGACAATTTGATAAATGTTTTGACTATGTTTTGTCTGAACTCTTCGAACTTGAAGACCTTGTATGATTTCAGGTGTGGCAGGAGGCACACATTACACTCAGCCAGGCGGAGGGACCAACTACCAGTGTCTGCCGACCGACCCACAGTGGGGACGGTACCAAGATGGAGTCCAAGGGCACAAGGCTTACATGTACGGCGCTGAGTACGAGTTGAACACAAACGTCCCGTTCGGCTCCACCTCCCTTCACGATAACAACGTCCCGTGTGCGGTCTGCTACGTCCCAACCCGCGGCAGTAAGTTAATGATCCCCGCCCGTAACACCTGTTATAGCGGCTGGACCCGCGAGTACCATGGCTACCTCATGGCTGAATGGTACAACCACCCCGGGTCTAAAGAGTACGTCTGTGTGGATGAACAGCCCGAGGCCCTACCTGGCGGACAGGCCAACCATAACGGAGCGTTGTTCTACCCCGTGGAAGCCCGCTGTGGGTCCCTGCCGTGTCCCCGCTACGTGGACGGAAGGGAACTCACCTGTGTCGTCTGCACCAAGTAGACCATTAGTGACACATCCATTCTGTTATCACGTTTCTACTTTTATGGTTTGGCTACAAGCACACAAGCGTGTGTAATTCAATTTCCATTGTATTGTAACCACAATGTAATATTCTTTGAAATAATGCAGATATCAAAAGGCTTAGAACGTTTTTGTGATTTCTTATGATTTGACTACACTTGCCTTATACGTTAAGTATAATGAAGTTTCAATCCTGTATATCATAATAGTTTGTTGTTTTGATAGATTTGACATGGCTTCAAGTTGAGATAAAGCGTGACCACTTGTAAAAGTTAACCGCCTTCAGATGTTGGTATCTAGTTGTATCTTGTGACATGTTCAGTTCCGTTGGGCATGGCCAATTTCAACTGTGTGTTGTTTTGGTTTTCTCAATAAACAACTAGCCAGGTGTGTGAATTATGATCGAACGTTTCTCATTGTCTACATGTAGTATCTAAGGCATGTATTGGTAAATTTTGAAAAGGTTACCATTTTTTGTGTGTTTGCATCCGTATCTTATAGCCGGCATAACCGCCCTTCGGCGTAACACACAAGCTGTGTGTGTGTGTGTGTGTGTGTGTGTGTGTGTGTGTGTGTGTGTGTGGTGTGTGTGTGTGTGTGTGTGTGTGTGTGTGTGTCGTCGTCGTGTCGTCGTCGTCGTCGT